ATAGACGCATTACATGCAAAGCGAGATATGTCAAGCCTTACTTTGGTATAATTGTGATGACATAAATGAACATTTGCACGATATTCTAATTTTTCGAGTTTCACCTGTATAAAGAAGATTTAAAGGAAAGCCAGAAATTAATATCTTATTGATGCACACAACAATCACCCAAGTTATTGGTAAAATGTCCCAGCTGTACTCCCTTAAAGGAATTAATATCTTATGAGCAGCATGTAAGCGTTTTATGAAGGATTAACTCAGTGGGTGAAACTTATTGCAGCCTGCAGATACAGTGATGGGGAAAACTTCAGATATTGAACGTTTACCTTTTGTTGGAGAACCAAACATAAGTTTGAGAGAAACAGTTCAAATGAAGTAGGGAAAGTAAAGAAGTGATAGAGAGGACTATGGGTAAACAGGGATATTATGATTTATATAATTGGCTTCGTGTATGTAATCAAATATATTGCATATATATCAAGAGTGGAGCTGAATGTTCTGTAATGAGCGCATGGCTGTTCTACTGTATATGGCCGACTTTTGCTGCAAGGTATGGATTAGATCTTTCTTATGTTCCTATAACCTTGTTTTTCAGGCAAAATATCAAAGCAATCCTCTACATATAGCACTGGTTGTTTCAAACTGTTTAAGAGAAGAAAGAAGAGTATTGGCTTCAGCCAGTATGCCAGTACAGGTAATTTTGTATTTGGGTTGAGTAAGTTCATTTAAAAATAATAACACAGAGAGGCAAGAATCTGAGAAAGGATTTGTTTTGTGTAAGATGGTAATGTGATTTAAGGCCACACGATTCTCTGCTACAGGGAAGCTCTTTATTCTGCTCAAGCCAAGCTTAAGTGTATAATTATAAGCTCTTCATTCTGCTCAAGCTAAGTGTATAATTATAAAATGCATAGACACGCAACATTTGTTATTTATTAAAAGTGTAGATGCTTATGTATTTATCATATTGTATGCCACCTCAATCACTGTGTGGATCCCTCAAAACAATGTAAACATTTTAAAAAGACAATAAAATCAAAGAAAACATAGGCAAAAACGAAATATTATTTTAAACAAGCCAAAATGGAATTGAAATGCATCAGAAACCTTAAGTGGTTGGGGAAAAAAAACAATATGGTCTAAAATTCATTAGTGTTATATCTTGCCTGTTTTCTTCACACTCTCAAGGCAGCATACATAGTACTCTTTCCTCCTTTCGCACAACAACCCAACCCTGTTGGATAAATTGGGCTGAGAGGAAATGACAGGACCAAAGTCGCCTAGTGGGCTTTTGTAGCTGAGTGGACTAGAACCTGGATCTTCCTGGTGCCTGTCCATGATCTCAGCTGCTTACCAACACTTGCCCTCACTGGCTACCTTCTAGTGGCAGAAAAACTTTGTCTCTTCTGCCATCAACCTAGCCTGTCTTAATATTAAAGCATTCAACAGGTCCTGTAGTGATGACCTAGTGGAGGGGATAGAAGGAATGCCCATCAAATTTGCAAAGCTTGGGGGGTGAGGGGAAATTACTACTACCTCAGAAGACATGCTCAAAGTTCAAAGGATCTTTTTAGGCTTGAACGTTGGGCCTAAATCCATCAAAAAGCTGTTCAGTAGTGAGTAATGTAAGATTTTGCCTTACATAGGAATGCCCGCCTCCCCCCCCCCCCCCCCCCCC